GGGGGGGGACTTCCACTCCCAGAATCCCCTAGCCAGGCAGGCTAGTTGGGGAATTCTGGGAGTTGAAGTCCACCCATCTTAAAATGCTCCAGTTCTCTTTTTAAAACTAACTTAAACCTTCTGCTCTCAATTACCGGCAGGCAGATGTCAGAGACACTTAAACATCAGGAATTTTTCAGGCTTACAAATTCCACTTTCTCCCATCTGGGTGAAAGAGGTTATTGACAGCAACGAACATGTCACAATTTCACAATGTATTGCTCCAGCCTTCCTGCCTGTGATCGTTGCCGTTGTTGCAATGTTGGTCTTTTCCACCAAGTGTACTACAATTGTGGCCAGAATTTCTATTGCTAAGCAAGGTGGTTGTTAAGTGAATCACACCTGATTCCGCGACCGTTTTGGCCACGGTTGTTAAGCAAATTGCTGCAGTCGTTAAGTGAATCAGGTGGTTGTTAAGCGAATCTTAATTGTCCCATTGACTTAGTTTGCCAGAAGATGGCTGGGAATATCACAAATGATGATCACGTGACCCCGGGATACTGCAACCGTCATAAATATAGGTGGTCCTCAACTTACAACAACTGAGCCCAAAAATTATGCTGCTAAGCCAAGAGAGTTGTTAAGTGAGTTTTGCCTGTTTGATGATTTTTGTTGCCATATCGTTGTTGACTTTGCTTGTCAGAAGATCGCAAAAGGGGATCACGAGACCCCAGGACACTGCGACCGTCATAACTATGAGTCAATTTGCAAGTGTCTGAATTTTGATCACGTGACCACAGGGATGGCTGCAATGGTCGTTAAGTGTGAAAAATGGTCACTTTTTTCAGGGCCATTGTAACTTTGAACAGTCACTAAATGAACTGTCGTAAGCCGAGGACTACCTGTAATGCATTATGTACAGGTAGTTCTCGATTTACGACAGTAGTTGGGACCAGAATTTCCATTGCTAAGCAAGGCAGTTGTTAAGAGAGTCGCATCCAATTTTACAACCTTCTGGCCATGGCTGTTAAGCGGATCACTGCAGTTGTTAAGTGAATCACATGGTTGTTAAGCGAATCAGGCTTCCCCCATTGATTTTGCTTGTCGAAAGGTCGCAAAAGGGGATCGCGTGACACCCCCAGACGCTGCGACCGTCATAAATTCATGCCAGTTGTTGAGCAGCTCACTCACAATCTCATAACCACGGGGACTCTTGAAATGGTCATAAATACGAGGACCTCATCTAAGTCCCTTTTTTCAGCGCTGTCGTAACACCGGTCACTAAACAAGTTGTCGTAAGTTGAGGACTACCTGCAATCTCATTCCCCTGGTTCTCCAGACCCCTGTTCTCTTGTGGTGCTTTGAACCTTGTGAGTCGCGCAGAATTGCTGAATTTGCAAGTTGAGCCACTCTGTAAATGGATGAAATAATCTGAAAATCAACAGATCCCGTTGAAATTCTACAAATTCCACTAAATGACGATTTGGCCTTGAGCCCAGCCAGTGATTGGCTACACAATTTGTTTTTTGATTTTTTTGTATCCCACCTTTATTATTTCTACAAATAACTCAAGAAGGCAAATATATCCAACACACCTTCCTCCTCCTATTTCCCCCCCCCCCCACAACAACAACCCTATAAGGTGGATTGGTCTGAGAGAGAGGAACTGGACCAAAGTCACCCAACTGCTTTTTCACGCCGCGGGCAGTACTAGAACTCACTGTCTCCTGGTGATAGGGCCAAAGTCACCCAGCTGGCATTCGTGTCTAAGGCAGGACTAGAACTCTCCTGGTGATTTCGCCCAAAGTCATTCAGATGGCTTTCATGTCTAAAGTGGGACTAGAACTCACCATCTCCTGGTGATTGGGCCAAAGTCACCCAGCTACTTCTCATACTTAAGGCAGGACTAGAACTCACCGTCTCCTGGTGATTTTGCCCAAAGTTACTCAGATGGCTTTCGTGCCTAAGGTGGGACTAGAACTCACCATCTCCTGGTGATTGGGACAAAGTCACTCAGATGGCTTTCATGTCTAAGGCAGGACTAGAACTCACCGTCTCCTGGTGATCGGGCCAAAGTCATCCAGCTAGTTCTCATACCTAAGGCAGGACTAGAACTCACCATCTCCTGGTGATAGGGCCAAAGTCACCCAGCTGGCATTCGTGTCTAAGGCAGGACTAGAACTCACCGTCTCCTGGTGATTTCGCCCAAAGTCATTCAGATGGCTTTCGTGTCTAAGGCGGAACTAGAACTCACCGTCTCCTGGTGATTTCGCACAAAGTCACCCAGCCGGCTTTCCTACCTAAGGGATAAGTAGAACTCACCATCTCCTGTTTTCTGGCCTGGTGCCTTAACCGCTAAACCAAGTTGGCTCCCTTTTTGCAATTTTTGCCTGAGTTGTAGAAGGAGTCTTAATGGTTTAAATGGTTTTAAAACATTTTAACAGTCTAAACCCCCATGATCTCCTCTTGTAAACAGAAGCCAGGACTCCAGGCTACATTTATTATCCTTATCTCGTGTTTGGATTTTAGCTGCAAATCGAAAGCTGAAAGTGGGCTTGTCTCCAACAAGGTACGATGCGTACCAGCTCTCTCCCCCCTGGTGTTTGCCCATAAAGATTAGCCACGAGGCTTCATTATTTCTGGTTTCAGGACATGCTGGGTGCAGAGGGCACCTGAAGGTCATCTGTCCCCAAACCACCTCTTTATGACAAAGCAGCCGTGGGGATCCCCAATTTCCTCCCCCACGCTCCCACCTACTCTGCATTTCCTAATTGTTGGGATTTTTTAAAAAATTGTTTTATTGCCAGTTTCCAAACAATTAGGATGTGCAGAGTGAGTGGATGGAGGAGAAATTGAGGGTCCCCACAGCTGCTTTGACATATTAGCCTATCTCTAATTTAAAATTTGGGGGGTATGTTCACTTTGGAGGAGAAATTGGGGGTCCCCCAAGTGCTTTGACATATTATCTAATTTAAAATTTGGGGGTACATTCACTTTGGAGGAGATATTGAGGGTCCCCAAAGCTGCTTTGACATATTGTCCCTCTCTAATTTAAAATTTGGGGGGTATGTTCACTTTGGAGGAGAAATTGGGGGTCCCCCAAGTGCTTTGACATATCTAATTTAAAATTTGGGGTTACGTTCACTGTTCAGTATCTGCAATCTCTTACACTGGGTTGCAAAACTAGTGTTTGGTTTTTTTTTTTAATCTTTTTTGAATAAGGTTTATCACACAATTGAAAATAAACATAGGATGGAAAGGAGAAAGGGACAGAAAGGAGAAGAAGAGATTTGAATGTTAATATTTATTCTCTTAATATTTTAATGCTTGAGTTTGCTTTTTTTTTTAACTTAGTGGTAAGCCACCCAAGTGAGAATGAAATACAGGTAGTCCTTGATTTACAACCGTAATTGAGGCCCAGCAGTTTCATTGCTAAGGGAGACATTTAAGTCAGTTTTGCCCTATTTTACGATCTTCCTTGCCAATGTTGCTGAAGAAATCACTACAGTTGTTAAGTCACACAGTCGTTAAGCAAATCTGTCTTCCCCCATTGACTTTGCTTGTCAGAAGGTCGCAAAAGGGGGTCATGTGACCCCAGGATGCTGTGACCATCATAAATACGAGTCAGTTGCCAAGCATCTGAATTTTGACTACGTGACTATGAAGGGGTGCTGCAATGGTCATAAGTGTGAAAAACAGTCCTAAATCAGTTTTTTTAGTGCCGTTGTAACTTCAAACGGTCACTAAATGAACTGCTGTAAGTCGAGGACTAGATTTAAAGGAGAAAAAAGCATTGATTTCCAATTTTTTTCAAGTCAAACTAACTTTCGCATGTAGGTAGGTATTAACTCTTCCTGTAATAACAAATTAATCTCATCAGCAAAACCCAAGGTCAAAAGTTCATTATTTTTTTTTCTGTCTTGAGCACAAAGTCCAGAAACGTTTTCCAAGTAAAAACAAAACTTGATGTGTTGTTGCAGACTCACAACAGATCTTTGACCTTGATGGCAAAGATGTGAAGTTTTGTGTTTTGATGAGAGAATTTTCGCTCAGCCGTGTAGTGCAAAAAAAAAAAGGGGGTGGTGGTGGTGTCTGCTAGCACCTTTCCCAATAAACTTGGAAATTAAATTATTAAAAGGTATCAACTTTTGTGAGTGGAGTTTCACACGATCGGGAGGCGTCAGCTTCTGTGAGCTGCTGTATTTAAATGCAGATTGTACCAATAGATGAGAGTATTTTAGGGCTGGACTGTGGGGTCCTTGTTGCTTTCTGAGTTGGGTTTTTTTTTCCCCCCGCAGACGTTTCATGACCCAACTAGGTAACATCATCAGTGCTAGAAGTGAGTAAGGTTAGCACTTTTAGCAGTGATGACGCTACAAAGTTGGGTAGTCTGCAAGAAAACCACCAAGCTCAGAGAGCATTAAGGATTCCACAGTCCCTCCTCCTCCTCCTCCTCCTCCTCCTCCTCCTCCT